CACCACCCTCCCCTCCCAAGCCCCCCTCTACCTGACCCCTCCACCACCCTCCCCTCCCAAGCCCCCCTCTACCTGACCCCTCCACCACCCTCCCCTCCCAAGCCCCCCTCTACCTGACCCCTTCACCACCCTCCCCTCCCAAGTGCCAGCTTACCCGGGCTCCCTTCTCTCCACTGGCTCCCGGAAACCCAGGGAACCCCAGAGATCCCTGAGGGGGTGGATGGAGAAGGGGAAAAACTGAGAGGGCAGGAAGTCAGGGGCCCAGGAGAGGCGGGGCGCTGGTGTGGGAGACCTGGGCTCTGCCAAGAACCCAGTGGCCCTGCTGTGCTCTGGGCCTCTGGAGAACGTGGGCACTGAATTCCCTTTAGGCCCCCCCAGGGAAGGGGAAGGGAAGTAAAGGGGCATGGCATCACCTTGGGGCCCTGGCGTCCAGGGTAGCCTGGCAGACCGGGAACGCCCAGCTTGCCCTGTGGAGAAGGCAGGGGGCCTCGTGAGCACTTGGCCTCCAGGGACACACGGCTACAGACACACAGACACATACACACCCCACACTGGAGCCCCAAAGGCTGCGTGGCCTTCCCGAGGGTAAACAGCGGTCCTCCACTCAAATGCTCAGAGCCCGGCTCCAGAAAGTCTGTCTCTACATCCCATCCTTCAGAACCTGCCCTGGTCTCCCCACTGCTGCCGCCTGCCCCTCAGCCACTGCACCCCACGCCCCCCCCCATCCCCGCACACTCTCCACAATCTCCCCAGTGCTGCCAGGCCACTGTGGAGTCCTGGTCAGCGCAGAGGTTCTGCAGTCAGCTGGCCCATGCTCACATGGGACCTCTGCCCCTCAAGGGCCTGGGAGACTAGCAAGGATCCTGACTTCCGTCTGTCTTTCCTCATCTGCAGACAGGCGGTGGGAGAGGACCCCCAGGGGCCGCTACGGACAAGCAAGTCTGGGCAGCAGCGAGTGTGCGCGCAGTGAATCGGCTCTGCAGACTCATCCATGTAGGAATCCCCGGTTCTGTCTCTGGGCACACTCTCCCGCTGGAAATGGTGGCACCCACTCTTAGCCCCTCTTGCTCTGTGGGAGCCTGGGGGGGGGGTGTCCCCACCTTCTGTTGTCAGCTCCTGGGGCAGTGACTTCCTTGATTTCTTATACCCTGCCCTCCACCTTTCGGTGCTCCGAAGACGCCGTGTGTACAGAAAACAACCTAGCCCAAGGCCCCTTGACTGGCTCACAAGGAGCCGGGTGGCGTCGGGGTTATGCGCTGGGCTGCGATCGGCATGGTCTTGGGTTGGAAACCACCAGCAGGAGGGAGACTGGGCTCTGTACTCCATCAACAGACCCGGCTCACAGACCCACAGGGCTGGCGATGAGCCAGCAGGGAACTGCCTCCCTCCCTGACTCCAGCTGTTGACAGCCCGAAGCAGCTCCCAGACCTCTCCCGTCGCCCAAACAGGGGTGCCTGATTCCCCATCACCTTCTCGCCCAGCAGCCCGGTGGGGCCAGGGTCCCCGTTGGGTCCAATGCGTCCCTTTGGGCCCTCAGGGCCGTCCTCTCCCCTGGAACCAGGAGCTCCCACCTCACCCTGGGTAAGAGAGTTGGGGAGCGAGTGTCAGGGAGTGGGGAGGGGTGGGCCTGGAAAGGAGAGGTGGGCACGGTGAGAGGACTGGGGAGGGGTGTCCCAGAGGCTCCGGAGAAGAGGACGGGAGACGGAGGGTCCCTGGGAGGGCAGGAGGAGGCCGTCCCTGTAGATCCCCTGTAGCGTGCCTGGGGCTGGGCTGTGTCAAGGGCAGGCTGGTGACTGGGGCCTTCGGAGCGAAGGGTCGCGTGGACACGAGTGTGGAGGACAAGTGTCGGGATTTCAACTCACCCTGTCACCTTTCACGCCCATGTCACCTTTGAACCCAGGAAAGCCATCCTCGCCCTGAGAGAGAGGGGTGGTGGAGGGTTGGCGGGGAAAACGGGAGGTTTCAGAGAACAAGGGCACGTTGGGGGCAGCATGGAATTGGAAGGAGGGAAGGAGGGAGGGAAATGGGCAGGAAGGCTGGGGTGGGACCAGGTTTGTGGGAAGACACAGGGGGAGGCACCCTGCTCACCTTTTCACCCTTATGACCCTTCAGACCCCGAATTCCATCCACGCCCTAGGATATTGAAAGAGGGGGCGGGGCAGGGAGATCAGACCGGCTGAGACTGAGCCCCTAAGAGCTCCCTCCCACTCCCCCGACAGCAATTCTTGATCTTCTTCCCCAGCCTGATGGTCAGTTACCTTGACCCCTCGAGGTCCTGGGTAGCCTAGAGGACCCTGAGGTCCAGACGGCCCCTGGAAGAAGGAAGAGAGAGCTTTCGAAAAGGAATCTTGGGGGAGGTTGGGGGACAACCCACTGGAGTCTGGACAGGGCCTCAGGGCCTGAGGATAGAGAGCTGTGACCAGCCATGTGACCGAGGAGACCTGGGAACTGTGAGGATCGTGAGGTCCCAGGGCAGTGTGCAGATTCCTTACGTGGGTGGGGAGGCGGCGTGGAAGATCTCACCTGGTTTCCTTTCGTTCCTGAAGGACCTTCCTTCCCAGGGTGGCCCTGTGGGTCGAAGAGAGAGTGACACTTCTGGCCTCTGGCCTTGTCTATGCTCCCCAACCCTGACTGTCCTGGTGCCATGAGCAGGCACCACCAATGACCTCTCAGGGCCCAGAGGTCACACCCTGCCCCGCAGGCTCAAGAGGAATGCGAATCAGAGGAAGAAGGCCACTCACGGGCAGTCCGTCTGCGCCAGGCATGCCAGGCAACCCGGGTTTCCCTCGAGGACCCTGCGGGGAGACACGGAGGCTCCAGGTTACTGAAGAGGTCAGCTCCAATCACTCAAATCCCTGCCAGAAGGGGCCCTCCCTGAACCCCAACTCTTAGCACATCTTCTGTCCCCACTTCTTGGCACTCACCTTCTCTCCGTGGGGGCCAATGGCACCTTGAGGCCCAGGGAGCCCCTACACAGCAGGAGAGAGAAGTCAGGCTGGCTACCCTCTCCCCCAGTCAGCCTCCCCCATCGCGTGAGCCACAGGAGGGCCTGAGACCCGCCATCGTTCTCCCAGTCCACACTCTGGTCTGCTGCAAAAGCCCAGAGGATCATGGAGATGGGAAGGTATAGGCAGGGCCACTCACCTGGGTCCCGGGGGTCCCCTGTTGCCCAGGAGGTCCTGGTTCTCCCTGAGGTCCCTAGAAACAGACAACCAGGTAGGTCAGAGCAAGCCTAGGACAAGGGGCTCAGTCTTAGCAGGGACTATCAAAAGGGCAAAGGAGCGGGCAGCAGGTTAAGTTGGGGGCAAAAGAAATGGACCCTTGGCAGGGCCTTGGGAGTCAAGGGCTGAGAGCACTCACCAAGCTCCCTTTGGGACCGTGGGGGCCATCCATGCCTCGGACTCCCTGAAACACAGAGAAGGGTGAGCAGGCAGGTGGGGCTCTGGCTCCAGGGAGCCCAGCCATTCCAGAGGGTGGGTCCCCAGGCACACAGCCATCAGGCCTCAAGTTCATCCCCGGCCTCCACAAACAGCCGCCCAACCCGAAGGGCGTGGCTCTGCAGGTCTGTGGGCTTGTGGGTTGTTGTTGTTGTGTTTTCCTTCAGAATTTCTGTTGGCGGAGTTCAGAGACCTTGGCACACTGCCCCACACGGCCCTGGGAGGGCACTGGCGTTGAAAGTTGAAAAGGGGGGCAGGAGGGTTCGTAGAGGCCAGCCAGCCAATGGGAACTGGGGTGTGTAAGGGGAGGGGAAGTCAGAATGGACCACAGAGAATTGGAGCGGTCAGGTGGTGAGGTCAGGAGTGGAAAGTCATGGACAGTCACTTACCGGGGGTCCAGGAACACCAGGGGGGCCCTTGGGGCCAAGGAGACCTCGAGGTCCCTGTGTTCAGGGTGGGGGGCAGACAGCATGCATGAGAGAAGGTGTCTCTTTATGCCCCCCGTCCCTCCCTTGGCATCCCCAAAGCCCCCATCCCACCCAACCTCGGGTCACTCACCGACTCTCCAGGCAGCCCCCGAGGTCCAATCTCCCCATCGTCTCCCTGCAGGAGGAAGGCTGTGTGAAGTATTCCTTCCCCCAGAACTCCCCCAGACAGCCTCCTCCTTCCGCTCACACTTACCCGCTCTCCATCCTCGCCCGGGGGCCCAGCGAGGCCCTGGGTACCAGTCTCCCCCTGGAAAGTGGGGTGGAAGGGGGGTGGATCAAAGGACAGGGGTCTCAGAGCCCCAACACAGCGGACATGGACCCTCTTCAGCTGCCAGCTAACTACATTCATCCTCATCGAGCCCCTGCTGGGACCCCACAGATCCCTTCCTATACCTTAAGACTCTTTACCTCTCCCACCCCCTACAGGGAATCCTTGACCCCACTCCCCAATCCTCTACCATCCAGTGCACTCACCCTATATCCTTTCTCCCCAGGCAGTCCTGGGAGTCCATCAAAACCTCGGTCACCCTGGAGTGGGGAGAGGCAGCCAGAGTGAGGGCCCAGGGAAGTGAGGGGCTCGGTTATGAAACAAGAAATCAACACAGATGCCCCCATTACCTTCACTCCAGTTTCTCCTGGCATCCCTCGGGCTCCGTCAGCCCCGGCCCGGCCCTGGGGGGGCCAGAGAAGTATCAGCACAAGGCCAGG